CTAGACTAGATTGGATTGAGATTTAGCGAAGACCCATGTTTGTTTTGTACATGGACTAGCTTTAATGAGCTTAGCCTTCACTCGCTTTGACTAAGGTGCTCGCTAGATAGTCTTAGCGAGTCCCTCAGACAACCATGGGATTGCTAGTCCGTCCTCGCCTTCTCCTCCTCATCGTCTCTCATCACCCACAATCTCATCTCTCTCTTTTCCCATCCCTCCCAACCATTGAAGAATCCAGAGCCTCCCTCATCGTCCACCTCAGCAAGCTCCTTTTCTCCTGATCCCCAACGTTGTACGGTTCTTCCTATTCGAATCGTCGAAGTCCTGAATTCCCGAGACTTGGAGCTCGCTCGATTTGACTGAAAAGGAGGCTCTTGCGTTTGTTGCACCTGAGCTTGCTCTGATTCTGATTTGCCAATTGATGTCCAGCTTGGAAGCTCAGGTGCAGGAGAATTGGAGCAACATTAAGAATTTGGAATCTGGTTTGAGATCGAGAAGGCAAAAGCTGGAGAGGGGAGAAAAAGAGGGAGAGGGACGGAAAAAAAAAGGGAAAAGCAACATTAAGAATTTAATCTGGTTTGAGATCGAGAAGGCAAAAGCTGGAGAAGGAAGAAAAAGAGGGAGAGGGACGGAAAAAATAAGGGAAAAAAAAAAGGGATTTGAAGTAAGGGACTAGAAGCACCTGCAGGGATAGAAGGCAAAGAAAGATTTGAGATTGAGAAGGAAGAGAAAAAGAAGAGACCAGAAGCCTCTGGAAAGGAGGAAAAGAAGAGAAAAGAAAAAGAAGGAAAGGTAGAGAGAGTGCAAAGAAAGAATTAAAAAAAATGACAAAATATTTTATTCCAAAAATAATTTAGCATGTAACTTAGTCCAACATTGCACCAAACGCTCGATTATTCTTATCCTACTTAACCCATTCCAAGGCAATCTAGCTTAGTCCCTGAAGTTAGTCCAGTTCAAAATAGCCTGGTACAACAAACACACCCTATAATTCCTGGTATTAGGCACCTGTTTGGTTTATGCTATAACGTAATCTAGTGGTATAGCTAGAGCTTTTACATATTACTTAATTTGCAACGTTATAAAAATAAAAAAAAATTACTAATTTTAGCTACTTCCTTAAAAACCCAAAATTTGGTGCTTAGATTGCCTAATAGGATAGGAATTTAGTACTTTCTATTATGGTGATAAAAATAATAGTAAACTGCTGATAACTAGTCATTCTAATTGGAGCGCCTTTTTTATACTTTTCTTATTGGAACTCTGAATATTGCAATCCTACGCTCCTTTGTAAAAGCATGAAGGGACAATGTTACTTTTGAGGAGTGCATGATGACTGTTTTGGCATGCAAATAACAGCTCCTAATTTACTAGTTTGGTAAAGCTAAACTAGGTTTGTGATAGCTGTTGCTAATTCCAGCTCTCTGCTTCCCCTTTGCAACAGTTCTAACGTACAGCCCCTTGTTATTGCGGCGCATCCACAAGAAGCAAATCAGTTTGCATTAGGACTATCGGATGGTGCTGTTCATGTCTTTGAGCCCCTTGAATCTGAAGGCAAATGGGGTGTGGCTCCACCTGTTGAAAATGGTTCAGCAAGCAGTGCGCCGGCTACTCAAGTTGGAACTTCAGGTTCGGATCAAGCTCAGAGATGATCAAGAGGCTGGCAGAGCACAAGTTCTTTTACATGCTTGGCTTGCTGGCCTATTCCAAATACAGGTATGCCTGCATTTGTTTAATTTCTATTTACGCTATGAGCAATACTTTTATTTGCTGCTCAATCCAATCAGTTAATGCAACCCGTAATTTCTAGGGCAATCGTTTGATATATTTTTGTCTTCTTTTCGTATTTTCTCTTAACACGCTTTCATTTCGCGTTGTTGCAGTTTGTGTTCTTCATGCAGTGTAATTTAATCAAGGAAGGATGTGCAGATATGTAGATTTAACAAGTTGGTTCAGAATCTCGAGTAAGGTAAATGCAGTAGGAGTATTGTCAGTGAAACGTATTTAAATTATGTGTCAGAAACGAAGAGTTTTATGTTTCTCCGGTATGCTTTTCTTTCAATTGATGATCATGAATATAATTCTAGGTTTTTTTTTTAATTTTTTAATTTGAATTTTTTTAAATTTTTAATTATGTCAAGTTGCGTTGGTGCCTCGTTTTTCATTTGTCTTTCCTCTGTTGTTAGTTGGATGTTACACTGGTGATAATTTTCATCCATGTTCTTCTGTGTGCACCGAGAAAAAAGACGACATAGAAAGTGCATAAGCTTGTAAATGTACCACGAATCGATGTCATAGAAAATGCATACAGTGGTACAAGCGCAGCATACCAGTGTAACAGATGTTTTTACAATGTGAATGTAGAGATGTTTCTACAGCATAAAACCGCCGGAAATTCAAGTTTTTACAGACACACTTGCTGCTGATTTACCATTTTCTTGTTTTCAAGTACAATTCAAAGGGTGGTGAGAGTGAATTTGATGTCCCGTCGGCATCTTTCTACTACATACCAACGAACCCGGTCTGATTCGAACAGAAGAAAAGCTTGGAGAACATGTTCCGCAAACACGAGTATGAAAGAGTAAAGCATAAGCAGGTGGGAGCCGAGAGACACTGCAGCGCCAATGAACTTGGTGGGTGCAGGGAACAAGCAGTGTAGCCGAAGGAAATACGGCACCACCGGGACAGCAGCGATGAGATTGTCTCCAATGACATTCATGTCCTATATCTCTACAACAAAAATGAAAAAAATAAAAAAAAAGAACTGAAATGATTATCAAACGAGCTCCTTGATTTGAAGTCGCCAAGGACACAAGGACCCCACAGTTGAGCGCGATTCTTTACATTTAGACTGGCGCCTTCCAACAGCACTCAAAGCCAGAGCTTCAACGAGTGTTTCCAAATCATGGGCTTGGGCAACGGACTACTTCTCTCCAACGACTACCGTCCAGACACCAACATTTCGATTACCTTACGACGCCAACATTTTGATTGCCTCTTGTGCCAAACTCACCCTATATTTCTGTTTATGGTTCGGTTTTGATTCGAAACCAAAACGGTTAGAGAGTAATGAAACTGGTGTATATCGGCCGAGAAGATCAAGTGAAGCTGTAGTCTCTACTTCCCAGTACGCCATCCGACTACATCCCCAAAGCAAACTCCACCAAAATAAACCATAGCACCACCAAAGTTGACCTGCAAAAGATTGGAGTTAGCCAAGGAAAGTACTTGGATCGCAAGAAAGCCCCGACTAGCGAATACCGAGGGCCGTCCTTGAAACGTGACTTGAAACAATGAGAACTGTAGCGGGGAATCCCCCAATGAGTTTAAGAATAGGCTACGCAAGTAGTACGATGGCTGAATACCGAGGATTTTGGTTCTCTCTACCCACTTTTGCACGACGAGAGTAAGACGAGGAATGTAATTCGATGATTTTATGTGCACTTCATCATCACCTATCCAGTTTGGCTTCCGGTACTCGCTGTACATTTTTATCAGTCATCTTATCAATATCGTTTCAGCTAAAACAGAAACATGGTTACAATTCAAGGGATTTATACAACAAATGTAAGCCTCAATTCGACCAAATTCACACCTTGTAACCGCAATTTAGTCTAACTATTCCGAATTAGCATCGTCTTTGGGTGACTTCACGATCTGCTCCATTAGCATTTTACAAAGAAACAAAGACAAAAGCGGTTTTACAGTAGTATCACGGTGAAACCATCGAGAAGTTTTCAGTACAAAGGTGACAGTCCTGGACATATTAAGAAACAAAACTGAAACTATCAACAAAAATCTCCTAACTATTAAGGGCATGCCATTTTTGTAGATACTGTACAAGGAAGCACTGCGCGTGGGAAGCTTATCCCACATTTTCTTCCACGACAATTCGATGTCGGAAGAAAGCTTCACATGAAGCACGGAGCAAACTACTAAACCTACAGTTCTGGAAACATTTGGAAACCCAAGTCCGCGGTCCGACCATATACACAATTTACCAGATGTTCTCCTTCCACAGTGTTTTCATATACACAGTTGTCTGTCCATGCTGCCAGAAGCTTAATGTAACGGACTTCGATTGCCTCCAGAACTATTCAGGCCGGGAGTTAACCAGGTTTGGAAGGTCAGTTGACTGGAGCTTCCTTGTTTCGTTTGCTGTTACCTTCCAGGACTCCAATGTCAGAGATTTCAAATTCTTCAGCGTTTTCAAATGCTCAAGTCCAGAATTTGTGATACAATAATCTGGTACGTAAAATTTCATGTTCTTCAGAGATCAATCCTGTCAACCCTGCTTTCCCATACAAGAATGTGACAAGCAAAGATAACAATGACAGTAACCATTATAATTAAAATTTCAAGTGTCCCGTTGCTTTGCAGAATCAATATCCACCCAAGCACCTAATCATCTACCACGTGTCTTTTTAAATTAACTTCGGTTAATATTTTTTCACAATGAAAAAGTAACATTTAATGTAAAAGTTAACTAAAGTTAGATGAAATGATACATGATAAAAGATTTAAATGCATGATAAACATATACTATAATTATGGTGATGCGCAAAAATGTTCCCGCAAAACAAAGGCATTCTCAGTACCTACTATGATTATAAAAAGTTAGCACCAATTTTAAAGACTAGATACCTCAAATAAGTCGGCACTAATGCCCTTCCCTTTGCCTTACCCTTGTACTCCTCAAAAAGTGGCTCAAAAATTGGACTTATATCAAATTTTCTCAAAAAAAAAATAAAAAAACATAAATTGTCCAACACAGCCACTTAGTACTACAGTTTAATGATATTTCTTTTACTAAGTGACATGTTTTAGGTTCGATTTTCTGTAAAGGCGAATTTGAACAATATTATTACTAAGCAATTGTGAGGCTAGGCCCAACCTCTTTCTTACTGTAATAATATATTTTTTTTTAATACATCGATATTTTTACACTAGTATAAATAATATTGTTTGTTATAAAATAAAATAAAAAACCGGCCAAAGGGAAACAAAAGAACTACCATTTTGGCCGTACCAGTCTGTCTATCGCCTCTTCACTCTTCAAGCCTCACATAAACCCCTCACCTCCTCTTTTCTCTCTGAACCCCACTACCAGAGCGACGCCGTTTCGCTCCCATGGCTTCCATCTCGGCGGACCTCGCCACGACCCTTATCGGCCTAACTTCTCGCCGCTCGACCCGACTCCCCTGGGTCGGAGCCGCAGCGGCCCTATTCCCCCTGACGTGGAGACCGAGGACTTTCCCACGTTCCCAAACCCTACGCTACTCGAAGTCGTCGTTTCGCCGAGCTCTTCTCGCCAAACCCAACCGAGGCTACAGAAGGTTCACTGCCGCGGCGAGCAGTGCAACGACGTCGCAAAGCGAGAGCTCCAACGTTTTGACCAAGATTGAGCCTGATAATCGTATCCCCGCCACAATAATCACCGGATTCCTGGGCTCCGGAAAGGTTCGATGTTCTTTTGGTAATTTATGGCAGTTTCATTGTTTGAATGCCGCATTAATCTTCATTGTTTACTGAAATGCACTTGTGAAATGGAATTGCAGACGACATTGCTTAACCATATATGAGCACGGGAAGCGAATTGCGGTGATTGAGAACGAGGTATGAGGCTCGGATTTTGCAGCTTATTGTTGTTATTGTTGCCCTTTTTTGTTGTGTATGTTGAGGTGTGAGATTGTGTGTATCTTGCAGTTTGGGGAGATAGACATTGATGGTTCTTTGGTTGCCGCAAAAACCACTGGGGCCGAATATATTGTTATGTTGAATAATGGTTACCTTTGCTGCACTGTGAGGGGTGATCTTGTGCGGATGTTTGCGGACTTGGTCAATAAGAAGAAGGGGAAGTTCGATCATATTGTCATAGAGACTATGGGTACGAAGTTTTTCTGTAACGTGTTGTTTGCAAGGATTAGGGTGCGTGAAATATTTAATTTTCGGAATTTGTTTGGCCCTTCTTGTAGATATTGAACATCATGTGATTTTGTTTTCTTCTTATTTGTAGGATTGGCAAATCCAGCACCGATCATTCAAACATTTTATGGTGAGGATCAGGTTTTTAAAGATGTCAAGTTGGACAGTGTTGTAACGTTAGTTGATGCTAAGCATGCTGTTTTTCATTTGGATGAAATTAAGCCAAAAGGAGTTGTCAATGAGGCACTGATTTAACTATGATCTGTTTGTTGGTCTGATTTACACTGTACTACATTCAAATTGAATGATGGTGATTCTTGAAAACTCAAAATAGTGTGGCCCTAATATTTCGTTATGAAGGTTTTCTATGGTTTCTTATGTTGTGGTTACTTTTTTCTCTCTCCTTCGTCCCTTTCCTTTGGGGCATCATTATTTGGAAAAAAAAAATATTTGCTCACTTGAAGAATGTATTTATGATTTTTACAGTTTTTGCTATAATGCCTGACTAGTTGTCCATTTTTGTCCAAGACCGATCTTGTTGGCAAGCCAGAAATTGCTTCTTTGGTGCAACAAATTAAGGTTTGTAACCTGTGTTTCCTTTCCTTTCATCATGTTTGTTAATAATGACTATTTTATTGAACCGAATGTATTGTTGTGGAAATAGAAAATCAATTGCATGGCTCAACTGAAGCGGACAGAGTTTGGAAAAGTAAACCTGGATTATGTTATTGGTATTGGTGGATTTGATTTAGAGGCCAATGAATGGAAAATCTAACGGAGGTATTATTTTGAAATAAAATAGTATGTGAGGTATGAAAGTGAAATGTTTTAAAGATGTTGTATGGGGTTGTAATAGACCTCAAACATGAGGAAGTATTATGTAATTTACCCAAAAATATTCGCTCACTTGAAGAATTTATTTATGATTTTTACAATTTTTGCTAGAATGACTGACTAGTTGTCCATTTTTGTCCTAGACTGATCTTGTTGGCGAGCCATAAATTGCTTCTTTGGTGCAACGAATTAAGGTTTGTAACCTATTTTTTCTTTCCTTTCATCATGTTTATTAATAATGACTATTTTATTGAACCGAATGTATTGTCTTGGAAATAGACAATCAATCGCATGGCTCAACTGAAGCGGACAGAGTTTGGAAAAGTTAACCTGGATTATGTTCTTGGAATTGGTGGATTTGATTTAGAGAGGTAATCTATCACACCTATTTCATTATTGTTGGTGGGGTTCAGACAATTCTGTCCTATAATTTTTCTGCTTAGTGGACATTACTGCAATTTCTTTAAACTAGGTTCTCCAAGATGATGCATAATGGTTCTAACTGTTCTGCACAATTTGAATGTGAAAAGAAAGACAGAGTATAATTTTTTAATAGAAGTTCCCTGCAAATTATGCCTTTATCTTTGGGCATTAAACTAACAATATCAATTGAATTTTTGTATCTTTGCGCTTGTGTAAATGTTCTTTTTAAAAGTAGGAACATTGAGGGGACTAATGATTCTATTTGTAAAAGTAGCAGATGTAAGCAGACTACTCATATTTTGTCTACAATTTCACTCATATGTGCCTTGGATAGTTGATGGAATTTTTATTTCCTTTTCTTTACATTTTTCTGGTTTGCGTTTCTTCTAATCTCCCTTTGTATACTGCTTTTGAACATGCTTTGTCTACCCATTGTTACTTATTAATAAATGTTATACTTTATTTTGGAAGCCCTTACTCTCCCATATGTTAATTTTATTTGTTCCTTGACATTACACTGTTTGAAATTGATGTATAATGCTCCAGAACATGCTTCAATGCTTCATAATTTCACACCAAATCTTGTGTTTGGAGTGTTATATATCCTAATCTTTGCTATAATCTAGCCAGGATAGAGAGTGCTATGGATGATGAAGGTGAAAAGGAAGATCATGAGCATCGCCATGATCACCACCACGATCATGATGAGAAACATGATCATAACCATGGTACATCTTTTTTATCTTGATGGTGCCTTGTTAAATATTTTTTTCTAATAACTAATTACAAGGTTTTCACTGGCAAATATATGTTATTTTTTATACACATTGAACATCCTGATGATGGCTTTGTGCGTACTCTTGTTCGTCTGTTGTCAAATAAAAGATAAATAGTCCTCACAATCTGTTTGTTGCACACACATAAATGCATTTCTGGAATTTTGGTGTTCTTGGAGTTTGAGAACAATTACTATTAGTTATGCAGCGTGTGCTTGAAAATTATTGGCGGGGTGGTAAGTTTATGTTTTAGCTTTGAAGCTCAGCTGCAGGTTTAAGTTATGGCATCACTTCGGAACCTAGTCCTCTGCTTTGCTGAAACCTTTACATTACATCTCTATGTATGCTTACTGCAGATATATAGATCTTCTTGCTACTAACAAGTATTTTTTAGAACATATGGGCGCAAATGGGAGGGCATTCAGTGGGTCCCGTTATACATCTATGGGGTATGATACATGGATGCTTAACAATGGGTACCATAGAATTAGGCAAAGCTCAGAGGTTGCTCAGATTCCTGTAATGAGGAATTTGTTTTAACTTTACACACGATATCGACAATAAACTATTTCTTTCTTTGTTAGAACTTAAGATCATAATGATATCTTCTACACTTAAAAGGACAAAAGAAGACTGCCATAAAATAATATCTTCTCCAGTCTCATTTACTTTGAGTTCAGCTTAATCAAGTCTTTTGAGGCTTCAGTATTCTTTGGTTTCATCTTTCTCTTTCGTTATTTTCAAATGCATTTCTTTTGATGGGGTTTTTAGTGTAATGTAAATCCTACTTGGGGGCAAGAAGTGTGGTAGTATGCTTCTTGGGGGCAAGAAGCATGACTAACTTGGGAGTTCTTAAGAAGTGATTATTAAGTGTCTCTTTCTCTGCCTTGGGTAGAAATTTTAATTGCAAAGAGCAAAATGACATAAGTCCCTCCAAATTGCACCGGCATCTGATAGGAGCATATTCATGCGACTTAAATGGCTTGTTCTCGTGCATTTACGTTATGTTTCTCTAGTTATTTTAGTCCTTTATGCTTCTTTTGTGTGTTTTCAGGTTCTAAGGGCTTAGGGAGTAAGAAAGTGCATTTTGAGGCTATTTGGGGCACTTTTGGGCATGGATTGGATAGTTTAATCATGGAGCTGATAAGAGCATATTCATGCGACTTAAAAGGCTTGTTCTCGTGCATTTACGTTATGTTTCTCTAATTATTTTAGTCCTTTATGCTTCTTTTGTGTGTTTTCAGGTTCTAAGGGCAAGGTATGCAAAAGGATGCCTTTTGGAGCATTTTGGAGCAAAATCGGACTTGGATTGGATAACTTATATTTGGAGCAAAAGGAATGGACGAAATTAAAGACCAAACTATCATAACCACCTATCATTACTTATCATCACTTAACATATCATTCATTTATCACTTAACATATCATTCATTTATCACTTAGCATATCATTCATTTATCAATTATCAAACCATTCACTTATCACTCACCACATATCATTCATTTATTACTTAACATATCATTCATTTATCATATCATTCATTTATCACCACATATCATTCATTTATCACTTATCATAACCATACACTTATCACTTATCATACTCATAATCATCTACACATTTCAACCATTTAAAACATTCCACATGCTTTCACAACTTAATTCACATGCACATTCATCCACCTTTCTCCAAAGAACATCTCACATGCATTTCCACCTTCCTACTTCATCATTTCACCACCTTCTCCATCTTTATTCCACATGCATTTATCATAATTCACCCTAGCTACCACCATTCACACACACATGCACTTATTCTTTCATCATTGAACCACCAATTCAACACATGCATTCACACACCCTTTAATCATCCTCCCTTTAAATTATGATTTTATTTCCTAACCCTACATGCATTCTTTATGCAACTCTTCATCATTGCACCACAAATCATTCACCCACATGCACTCATATTCCCATTTCCTTTCCAACATCTCACATGCATTTCCACCTTCCTACTTCATCATTTCACCACATTCTCCCTCTTTAACTCACATGCACCCAAACAAAGCCAACCTAGCTAACCCTACATGCATTATTTATTTATTCTTTCATCATTGCACCACCAATTCACCCACATGCATTTCCAACCATTCACACCCCTTTAATCATTCTCCTAGCTATCATTCACATGCTCTCCCATCCATTCTCTCCCTATATGTTCCCTCCACTACTCCTATAAATACCCTTGCATTCATTCATTCATTCATCATCTCATTTCATACACAACACACCACAAACACTTCCATCTTCTCCCTAGCCGTGAGTTTTTCTTCCATTTCTCCTCCATTTCTTCCATTTCTATAATCCCCCAATCCATTCAACACACCTACAACATCCCTTAGTTCTTGTGCCACAATAAAGAGGAAGATAAGAGGGCCTAAATGATAGGAGCATATTTATGCGCCTTAGTTAGCTAGTTCTTATGCATTTTTGTTATGTTTTATTCGTTAAAGTAGTCTTTTAAGCTACTTTCATGTGTTTTCAGGTTTAAAGGACATATTACATGAAATGATGCAATTGGGAGCTTTTGGAGCAAAACTGAGCTGGAATGTGGTGTATGCAAATGGAGCACGAGGAATGAACGAGGTTGAAGGTCAAAGGAGCTTAAGAAATGAAGAAATGAAAGTGAAGAGCAAGGAAGTCGGAATTGGTAACCAAAGTTTCTAAAGTTGGAAGTTTCTATTCTTAGAGGTTTCCATTGTCGTGAGTTTCTATTCTTGGCTTTGGGCTTTTAGAGCACCTAAACCCTAACCTTAGCCCATTTTAGAGCCATTGCCGTGGGCTTTAGCCCAAGTCCTTTCCCTTGCCATGCAAGGGGGGGCATTTTAGGCCCAAATCCATGCATTAAGCCCTTCACCCTAATTGGCCCAAATCCATGCATTAAGCCTTCACCCTAATTGGCCCAAATCCATGCATTAAGCCCTTCACCCTAATTCTTCCTCCTAATTAGTGCATCCCACCATTCCCACCATTCCATTCCATAATTTCCATTAGTGCATCCCACCATTCCATTCACACTTAAATGCCCATTATCCTATTTTTTTTAGCTTTTAATTCCACACCATCCCATTATCCTTTACATCCACTAAACCATGCATCCACATTCACCTAAATAAACCCTAAATTACATCCACTAAACCATCCATCCACCATAATTCCCACCATCCACACCTTTTCCCATCCACCAAATACCTTAAACAAACATCCATTAACACCCATTCTCTTCCTATAAATACTCATTCATTCCATTCACCAAATCATCTCATTTTCCATTGTAATACACAAACACTTCCCCTTCTCCATCTTCTTCATTTCCACTCCATTCCACACTTCCATCCCCCCAACAAACCTATCCTTAAACCTTGTGCTACAACAACGAGGAAGAGAAGAGTGCCTAAACGTTCATACAATTCAAGTTTGAGTTGTTGGAATGTTTAGGTGTTTCTTTGATTTCAAAGTTTCATTTTAATTCTCTTTGTTTTGTACGTATAAGGAATGGAAGAGAAGAGTGCTTAAACGTTCATACAATTCAAGTTTTGAGTTGTTGGAATGTTTAGGTGTTTCTTTGATTTCAAAGGTATGAGGAACTAATCCCCCTTTAGCTAGGGGGTGATTCGAAACTATGTTTATATTTGCAATATGAATTGATTAACTTTCGTTGGAATTTCATAAGTTGTGGATTCAATTTGTTTAACCGTTTGATTGATAACTTGTTTATGAATGTTTATTAAGAATGCGCGCTTAATTTTCATGCATAAATATGACGCTAGAATATAAGTGATTTTCACCTAATCGTTATGAACTTATATTCACAAGTAGTGGAGGTTGCTTATAAACAATCGCGTTAAATGAATTCTTGGCACGAGTTTCATGCTCATCATAGTAACGAATGCCTCGTCAACACTTATAGTTTTCATAATACTTAATGATCTTTGATTGTATCTTTATTGTGCTGTTCACGTAAAGGACTTTTGGAGAATGTTGTGAATTGCGTTGCGCAAACCCATCCAATTCATTAACTTAAGGAAAACTTGACGGTTAATTTAAGCGGACCTAATTAATCTGGAGTGTTGAGTTTCATAATTTATCGAAAGACCAACTGAGAATCAATCTTGTATGCAAGTATAACATGTGTGGAGAAGAACCCCTTAGCTAGCCTTCATTCCATTCATTCCATCACAAATTCATATTTACATTCCGCTTAGTTTGTTACTTTGTTTTGTTATTTCAATTTTCGTCAAATCAAAACTTTTCCCCCCCCCTTTTACTTTCTTGTTCTTTAGTGCTTAGAATCTGTTTAGTTTATGTTTTAAAGTATTTTGAATCAAGCCATAATCTTAAATTCGTCCAAAATTAGTTTTGAGTCTTTTGGTTTGTCTTAATGTTTTAAATTTTAGTTTTGCATTCTTTGAGTCTAGTATAGTGTTTTATATTGTGTTTTTACGTTTTTGAGTCAAATCCAAGTGATTAACAATCCCTCCTAATCCCCGGTCCAGAACGATCCCTACTTATACTTATACTACAATTGTCAAAAAGAGGGTTTAATTTGTGCGCGTATAAAATTCGCATCAAATTTTGGCGCCGTTGCCGGGGATTAGCAACTTTGCTAATCCCTTGGTTCTTTTCTTTTTGGTTTAGTTGTTTTCGTTTTAGTTTCTAACTTAGTGTTGTTTTCTTTGTTTGTTGCTACTTTTGATAGTTGATTTAGTTCTCTTTCTTTGATGTTAGGTACTAGAGAAGTAAGAAATGGATTTTGCTAGCATTCAAGCTCAATTGGCAAATCTTACTTCTCAATTGTCGCCGTATGCCGAAGGGACCACAATGCAGAGTATCCCTACATTTGGTGCTTCATATAGGCAAGGATTTCAAGCCAATCAATGTCCACAAAGAGATTGGAGGGATCATTCAAACTCTATGTGGTGGGAAGCTCAACAAGTTCAACGTGAAGCATATTGGCAGCCATATGAGGAGTTCTATTCAAGACCTATGCAGCCACCACAACTTGATATGCAATATGTTCAATTAAATTCAAGTTCGTCAATAGATTATATTCAAATTCTTAATGAATTAAATTCTTTGGTGCAGGGGTCACAAAATCAAGCCACGGAGGCTCTACAAGAAGCATATTGGCAACCATATGAGGAGTTCTATACAGCACCTATGCAGCCACCACAACCTGCCCAAAGCAATGAAGTCCAAACTCAAAACAAGGATGAACAAAATCAAGACAAGAAGTTGGGTAAATTGGAGGAGCAAATTGAGCAGATTATGGGGTTCATGAAACAAATTCAAGAGCAAAGTGAACTCTCCAACTCAACTATTGAAAACTCGAAGGAAGATTTTGAAATCCATAATGATATAACTTTGGGAAATGCTATGGAGGTTGGAACGGACCTTAAATCAAATTACAAGGAAGATGAAAGGTTGCAATTTGAGGAAGAGGAACACACGCAACCTATGGCAAGGGTGGAAACACCTTTGCCGCAGGCACCTATTGCTCTCACGCCATCTAATTCAAGATCATGCAATCCAAGGAAGAAGAGGGTGAGAAAGGCATCTTCGAATCCTTTCCAAAGAATCAAGAGCAAGATGTGACTGGGGAATGTCTAGAAGAGGATATACTTAAGGCAAACAACCCCAAAGAAATTGAATTTTATGATACAGGACAAGGACCAATCCTCACACCACATCTGGGCGAGTGCAAAGTCCCTGAAACGTTCAAAGAAGATGTGTTTGTCCTTGAGTTCTTGTCGGAGCACACAGGTAAGCCGCCTCCCCGAATTTCAATTTTCTTTTATACTAATATGTTGTTAATGATCCAGGCACCCACTTTAGAATTTGAACCATTACCGGATCATCTCAAGTATCACCCCCTATTCAGAGATAAATTCCATGTCATGAGTCCTAAATGAGCTTAAGAAGGTTTCGTCCGGCTGCAAGACGTAAAAGAAAGCGCTACTTGGGAGGCAACCCAATACAGTGAATAAAGCTTGTTTATTGATTTCCGAGTGATTAAAAAAAAAAAAAAAAAAAAAAACTTGTTTATTTATTTTTGAGAAATTACAAT